AATTGGAAGAGCGTAGTCAATGTCACAGAACTGTGCATGTAGATATTTTTGAAGCGGTGTATCTTTGGCTATGTGTATTTTCACCAAAAAAAAAAAAAGGTTGAGAATTTAGAGGGTTGATATGTTGTGGGGTTGTTAACCAATGTCATAAAACAACATGTGTACTACTGTTTCATGAGAAACTATTTGCTCTGTAAACCTTCACCCGAAGTACAATAAAATATTTTAAAAAAAAAAGTTAGAGCTAGAGAAGCTTTGAATACTACAGCTAAAATGACAAGATGAAGGACTGATGTATGGAATCTTTGAGTGATAACTCCAAAAAGTTAGATTAATCTAACTAAAACTTGTCTATGGTGATAGAGGCAGAGTTGCCTATTTGTGGAGGAACTGACTGAGGGGGCAGGAGAGAGCCTTCTGGGTTGCTGAAAATGTTCAGTAACTTGATCTGGTAAGTGGTTACAAGGGTGTATATATACATATGCCAAAAGATGTGTGCACTTTACTGTATCTGAATTTTAGAAGTTTTTTAAAATCACATGCTCACAAAGCTAGAGGCATTATGATGTCATCATCACTACTCAGAAAACCTGGATTTGAATCAGTGCCATGCACCACTTACCCAGAACTATGTGACCTTAAGCAAGTCTCTGAACCTTCTTTACAACATCTGTCCAGTGTGGATGATGATACTTAAAGGATGGTTGTAAAGATTACATGGAATTATGTTTGGAAAATACTTAGAACAGAGCCTGGTATATAATACTGCTCAGGAAACAGTAGCTACTATTATGTTTTTCTTACACTCAAAACTATCCTATTTTATTCTCCCCTGGTCTTTTTTCCCCCAAAGATTACTTTGTATCTAGGCCTTTCCCTGTGAATTTCACAGAGGCTAATAACATTCCAGCTTGGCTGTCAGGGGTGTAATGCATTGGGTTTCAAACTAGTTCAGGCGCCAACACCTAGAAATCGTGATGCTCATTGTGAAACATCATGAAATATTGATAGATTTAATTCTGCCATATGGACTTGACACAGTTTTACTAGCAGTAAACTTTGCTATATTATGTTTATGCATATCTTACATATAAAAACATGTTTTTAAGAAGTCACATGTCTGAGCTTTTCTTTTAAAATTTGTTGGTAGCTTTTCCTAAGATCCAATAAAAAAAAAAAAAAACCTCATTGCTGTCGAGTCGATTCCAACTCATAGTGACCCTAGAGGACAGAATAGAGCTGTCCCATATGGTTTCCAAGGAGTAGCTGGTGGATTTGAACTACCAACCTTTTGTTAGCAGCCAAGTTCTTAACCACTGTGCCACCAGGGCTCCTTTCCCAAGGTAGGAAGTACCAAAAGCTTAATAGCAATTCACAAAAAGAAAGTCCATTTTTTCCTGGAAATTAGAGCTCTTTATCAGATTTTCCCACAGTAAGCCAGAATAGCTGTGACCCACAGAGTCTCTCACTCTGATAAAGTGGGTAACTCTGACTCACTGTTCTCATTATGCTTCCAAAGATCAGCTCCCATTTGTTTTGGCTGACCTTTCCCAAATCCCTTTTTCACACTGAGCAGTGCCAGGGTACCCTGGAACGAACTCCCAGCTTCACTGCTTTGATTGTCCAAAATGCTTCTACTCAACCAATTCTCTTCCCCATAGTTCTACTGTCAAGTCTTGCAATTTACTGCCACACTCTAACTTCGTGGAGGAAACATTCTGTCCCTGGCAGAAGTGTGGGTAGGGTTCAGTAGGGTCAGAAAGCGGTGTTGTAGAAAGATGCCACCTCCTCTCAATTCCTCTCCCTGATTTCCTCTCCTGTGGCTACTACCTGAAATCCTAAGAATACTAGTTTTTCTACCTACTAAAAAATCCATTCTAGTCAAGTCAATAATTTAGCCTATAACTTAAACTTGGAAACGTAACATGTGTCATGTTAGAGGAATCTACAAATAATTGTCCATAAAGCAGTCCATCATTACCCTATGCCTCTAAGCTTCACATTTTCAGTACCATCTATACTATCCCAAATGCTCCTTCTCTGTATAATAGCCACCTCTGTACATGTTTTCCCCCAGCACCTCTATGTCTCTCAAGTAAACAGCCAGGCTTACCTTCTACCCTTTTCCCTCAACTCTTGACCTGTTGAATAGAGCAATAACATCCAACATTGATTGATTGCCTACTGGCTGCAAGCACTTTACTAAATGCCTTATATAGGTACTACCTCATTTAATTCTCAAAACACCCTGTGAGGTATTATTTCAATTTTATACATGAGAGGTGGGGACTCTGAGAGGTTAATGTCCAGCGCAAGATCACACTGAGTGAGGGGCAAAGCTACAATCTGAACTCAGACATACCAATTTCAAAACCTAGTCCCTTTTGCAATGTGTCACTAAGATCTTTGATTTAAACTTTGCTAACAGTTACCCTCCAGATGTTATAAAAGATGTAACTGAAAACACCAAATACATCTTTTTAAAAATATGAACCATGTTACACAATGATGATATTTCTAAAAAGTTGGTGTAAATGAGGTTTTCTCATTAATTTTTTTTTCATAATCGCATTTCTTGTTGATCTGCAATTGATAACTTCTATCCTGATAGCTTCAACATTTTTCTCACCAACTCCCACCTCGGCCTTTTGATGAATATTTAATCATTCTAGACTAACACTTAAAAGCATTTTGGTATAGAGGAGCTACTACTTAAAAGAAGTTTCTAGTAAATTCCTCTTTTTGTAAAGCAAGAACTTCATTTATAATGTGAATAAGCAAACTGATGTATTTTTACAATGACATTTATAAATGTTTGACAAGTATTTGTGCCTACTATATGTGTATAGCTGTGATAAGTGCCATAGAGCATATATAATTAATTTGACAGAAATCTTGCCTACTGGAACCTCATAGTCTATTTGGGAAACAAAACGCTTAAAACATTTAAACATTAATACAGCATATTATAGACTTAAGTGTCAAT